GCCTCACTTTAAGCTTCCTTGGCCTTGGGAAACACAAAAACAATGAACTAAGTGCTGAAAAGCACGATTTCTGAATGTGTGTGTGTGTGTTTGCACAGACAGCATTGTTCCATTATGAAAAATATGTGAGGATACGTGATGACTGGTGTGTGTGCTCCCTTGTCAACACGTGCAGAAGTAGTCCTCGTCCCGACATACCTGCCTGATCGCCGTCTCGCCGATCTTGTCCGAGTGTTTTCGGATGCTCTCCAGGAAGTCCTTCAGCTGGGTCATGGCCGTGTCGCGGATCTGCATCCGCAACTTGGGAAGGTTTTCCGCCATGATGGCGCAGAACCGGTACTGGCCCGCCCTGGGAAGACATGTCTGCTCCAGCTGCTCCGAGGTGCGCAGGGCCGGGTAGTACCTAACACACACGGAAGAGACTTTTTTTTACAAATCTCAGACTTGGGAGGATGGGGGGGCTTGGGGGGGAATTAGTTCAATAACAAAACACACACACACATATTTGTTCATGTGTCAACATTGGCTGACCTTACGCTGCTCTGTGCTCTCAGAGGGGACCAAAAAAAAAAACACACACACAAACAAAGCATTCATTTATGAGCAGGGAGACTTCTGTCTTCAGGTCAGGGCCAGGCCATTTGAAAGAAATTCCCAGTCCTCTGGCGCCACCTCGTGGGTGGTTGGTAAACTACCTCACAGGCACACATTACATGACCATACGACGGAATATTCGCAAGGAATAAGGACCAAACACTGCTGTGAAAAGCAAAAATGCAAATATTTGATACCCCCTAAATCTTTTTAATTAACTGTTCAAATTGTGTGGCGGTTCCAAATGGTGAATTTTGAAAAAAAAAAAAGGATCAGATCGTTGAGCTTCAACTGTATGTGACTTCCCTTTTGTTTTTGACTAACTCAAATGAGTTCACGTTTGCAGGTAGTACTCCCTGCTGATCGGGCATCCCTTTTACGTTTTGGTTTTACATACCTGCCGACCTCAGCTAATAGCTGCCGTTATAAATGATTACGATTCCCCTTACAAAGCAACAAAAAAACCTTACAACGGCTTACCGCGCATGCACACATCATGCTTTATCAACCCTACCGTACGTAGCGATGAAAAAATATATACGATTAAGGATTACTTTTGCTGGTTTGCCGTGACAATAGTAGCGATCGATGACGGCATTGTCGTTGGCTACCAGCAGGTGAGACGATCTGGATTTAAGCCAAAATGGCCTTTGTGAGATCGTTCACAATTTTTTTTCCCCCTATAAAAGTTGTAATATGCCGTACATGATTTGAAATGATAAAAAAATCGTATAAAATACGGGGAAAAGGTACAAGTTGACAGGTATGGTTTTATGAGACGCTGTGCCGTCATACCTTTTGGCGTCCATTTGCTCCTGAAGGCGTGCGTACATCTCCAAGACTGGTACACAAAACAGGTTTTATTAGGACCTGATCGATGGCGTGTCAGCATGTGTGTATGTGTGTGTGTGTGTGTGTGTGTGCGTGTGTGTGTGTGTGTGTGTGTGTGTTACCTGGCAAGCAGTGCGTCAGTTTGTCAACGGTGGTCGCAATGTTCCTCTGTTGCACTCGACACTGTCTCAGCTCCTCCATGGAGCTCATGAGCTGCACAAGAGTAGAAGAAGTTGTGAAGAAAGGTTTTGTGGGTGTTTAAGATGGTGGTTCTGGGACTTGCCTCTTTGCCGTCGCCCTGAATGGACCGATTGGTCTCAGTCACCTGACTCTGCAAAAGGTAAAAAGAGCAAAAGGTGAGCGGCAGGCTACGACCCCCTTTGTCACCTCGTCTTCCCTCCACGCTACCTTCAGCTTCTGCGCCTCACCGCGCACTTTCAGCAGCTCCGTGATGGAGTCGACAAAGCCCTGGAAGTGATGGTTGCACATCTTCTCGATCTCGCGGTCGTGGTTCCTGATCCGGGCGTCCAGCTTGGCCATGAACAGGCTGTGTTCCTGGCCATCGTACACCGACCTGGCCAACACGGGGGAGAAAGGTCATGTAATTTCCTGTCGGGAGGCAGACCGGAAGCACGAGATGGTTGGGAGGTGAAGGAGCAGGAAAGCCACACGCAGGCTCACGGTCCCATTTTGGGCAACAAAGGACGCAATTCTTCCTGTGTTCTTTTCCTGTGTGCACCTGTGCACGGCGTAAATCCCCCCCCACACCCTCCCGCAGGACAGGAAGTGGCCGACTTGTTGAGGAGTACAATGGAGAGCCAAGTGCTTTTTTTTTTTCTTCTTTTCACTCTTGCCAGAGTGCAACAAGTCTCTTGTGTATGTGTCAGCCGACTAAATAGGATGCGCGATGACCAAGTTCCTGAAAGATCCGCAGCACAGGCAAGCCAGCGAATGAGGAAAGCATTAATGCCATCGCTGCTATTCGATTGGCCGATTCTAAACACATCAGAGGAATGTTGCTGCCTGTCTCATCCTGCTCGCACTGCCACAAACACCTCCTTGTTCAATGGAATGAGGAGTTAAACCAACTGTCAGAACAGTTCCCACCTCTGTCTTGGTACACGTGTGCCCCCTATAGGCCGTGAGCAGCATAACGGATGACGTCTATGCAATCTGATTGGACGCTTGCATTGAAATGTATTAATTGATCGATTTTCTATACCGCAGGTATACTGGGTCAGGGGTGAGCTGTGGCCTTTCCCAGTCAACATGCAGGGCACAGCTAAAGCAGCATTCACAGAATGTATAAGTATTCAATTAATGTAACATGCATGTTTTTGTAACGTGGAAGGTCGGAAGTCAGATTCGACCCCCAGCCCTCAGAATTGTGAGGCAGACGTGTTAATCACGACCGCATCGTGATGGAAGATGTGCTTTGACGACCTCTACGCCACAACTTTGTTCCTGAACTAGACAGAAGAATAAATCACGCCATTCTTCTATTTGACACAGTTGGCAGAAAGGCTTTTGCACTTGACAGCCACTCAAACAAGTGATCAGTGGCAGAGTAGCCGTCTTTCAACCCAAGTGTTGTGGGTGCGACTCCCCCCGTACTGCTAGATCCGACAGCAGTGACCAGAATTGTAATCAGTTAGCACAATGGGCTAAAGGTAGCCTGCCAACATTCATCTAAGGACAGAAGCACAATCGCCGAAGCCAAGCTCTATCTGTTTAACATCAGCTAAGGCGTGTTTGCTAGCTGTCCGATAATGGAGGTAGACGGTACAAAGTTTTGGGCGACGGAGCCGGGCGACCTACCGCAGCGTCGGCCCGATACAGTTGGTGTCCGTGCTCTCGATCTCGCGGAGAATTCGCTCGTGCTCGGCGGCTGTCTCCACACTCGCCATGGCGCATGTTGCTCCGGACGGTTCCGAGCTGAGCTGAGTTGAGCCGAGCTGAGCTGAGTTGAGCCGGGCGGAATGGAGTGGAGTGGAGTGAAGGAGCTGGGCTCAGTGCGTCACGTCGCGCCGCCGGGAGTTGCTTCGATGTGCATGCTCGCGGCAGCCCGAGGGAGCGGAGCTATGTCTGCTTATAATCACATTATATACACGTAATGGGCTCCTGGCGGAGCATGACCAAAAAAAAAAAGACCAAATATGTCTAAATACCGATGTGTTGTTTCCATTTATTTACATTTCATCTAAACTCCATTTGAATACAGTGAAATATTGTTCTCATTTCCAGGAATGTAACTCGGAGTAGAAACATTTTAGCTGGATATTTTCCTTGCATGGTAAGTTTCGCATGGCAAACCAGCACTCTTTTATTCTTTTCAAAATATAAATACAAGACAGGCCACGATTCAAATACAAGGTCTCGTAACATTTTTATAGTTTGAGCTTTTGTTTTGACGGGAGGACATCCGGCTGTCTGTGACGTCACCCGCCGGTCTAAGAAGGAGAGCGCTGGAGCAAGTTGTCAACTTGTCATGGAGGTAAGAATGGCAAAATCGTGACACAGAGCCAGAAGAGGCAGAGCCTGACTCAAGCACACAACTGTTCCCGTTAGATTGTGCTCGTTGTTCGGAGTTTTTGATGCCTTAAAAAGCACTTTTTTTCAGCCCAAGTTCAAAGTCCGCGCGTGATAGACTGTCTAGACCAGTGATCGCGATCTACCAGCCGATTGCAATTTGTGATGGAATTTTCTGGTCACTTGGAAATCTGTGCACTAATTTGTTACTTTATTCAAACATTTATTGAGTAGCTTGTTCGTTCATTTTGTATATATACAGGTATATACACACACACACACACACACGCACACTTTCTTTCTTTCTTTCTTAACACACACACACACACACAGACACACACACGCACACTTTCTTTCTTTCTTTCTTTCTTTGACAACACTGTATAACTTAACCCACAGCTGCATTGCTTCAGGCTCTAAGGTGAAAACCCGTCGAGGCTGATTATTCATGTCTTGCCAAGCCAATGTATCCCAACGACGATATCAAACTTTAAAGGCCAGGCCAGACATTTTTACTTGATTACGTCAGGTTTTCATGCTACTTATTTTTTAAATTGGCAATTAATCACCCCTTTTTGTGACCATACTTTTTCAAATTGAGTTAACCACACTAAAAGGGTCGTTGGCCCTTGGAGAATGGGATGACAATGCAAGCAATACAAAAATACACGTTCAATAATGTTTTTTTTTTTTTTTGTGGTTAGTGATTTGAACTAATCCCTCACGACTGATTTTAATATCAGTGGAAAACTCTTGCAGACCGCAGTGCTTAGTGAATGATGAGCAATGCGGGAATCGGTGTGCAGGGCGAAGGGAAAAGCTGACCACTGCCCGTTACAAATATGACCTTTCACCAGAGTTGAACCAGTGAATATCACAGGACCTCTTCCAGCGAATTGACCCTTTGACTTCAGCTTTTTTTGTTTTGTTTTGTTTTAATGACTTGGATGCAGGTGTGGGTCGATCGCATGACGCACGCACACAGACAGACAGGCATGCGCATGCGCAAAACAACGGTGCCTTCCCTGCAAGCTAGTGAGTTATCGTTTCATTTAGAAATTAAATTTAAGGGATAAAATGTGTGAGGGTGCTGGACCGAGTAAAAAGAGGAAAACGTACTACTTCCATACGGAATGGGAAGAGGAATATTTTTTTACGATGTCTTTTTCAAAGTGCGTTTGCCTCATCTGCCTGTCCAACATCGCTATTCCGAAAAAGGGAAACGTGGAGCGGCATTTTCGGACTGTGCATAAAAACTATAACATTGACTTCCCTCCCAAAAGTGATGTGAGAAGGAAAAAATTAGCGGAATTAAAATCTCAATTGTCCGGGCAGCAATCATTTTTCATGCAGCCACCTTCGAAAGCAAAGGCAGCCACAGAAGCGTCATTCCGGGTGAGCCACTCAATCGTTCTGCACAATAAATTATTCCAAGATGGAGAAATGTTGGAGGAGGCATTCCTCAATATAGTTATATATAAATGTATGTTTTACAATTTTATAATAGGTAGATCTTTTTGAATTTGTCGTTTTGTAATAGCTCGCATTGTAAAAAAAAAAAATAAAATGTGGGCACAGCTGGTCTAGACTCGCTGTTCATTTCACAATATTGACTGATGGAGATAAGGTGGCGAACAGAAATGTTCAAAACAACTGTGACGGCAAAGTACAAACTGCGCAATGTAGACGTTTTTGAATGAATACAGTCGCCTACCAATTGTCTCTGAGAATGCAGAATTTGTGAAGTACAGTTTGTCATTGGACTGTTGTTAATTAAAGAGCTGATGATTGAATGTTAAAGGCCGATGTCGTTGCACAAACTCTAAAAAAAAATGTCGTAATTTCGAGTCCATGTGTTGCGCATTAGGCAAAACAACAATTTGTTTTTCTTGTGTGATGCAGCCCCAAAAGAAGCTGATCAACTCTGCAGAGGACTGCGTCGATGAGGCTCTCTGCGGCCTGGTCAGGGCCTCCAGTGGCCTGTCTCTGCTGCGCGGCCACCGGGTTGTGCTGCGCTCAGACCTGGACCAAATCAGAGGCAAAGTGGCCCTTTTGTCAGGAGGAGGATCGGGACATGAGCCTGCACACGGGGGTACGACTGACACCTCTTGAGCAGCCCACACAGCAGTGGCTTCAGTTTCTTTTGAAACACTGTGTCCAGGTTACGTGGGTGCTGGTATGCTGTCAGCAGCAGTAGCAGGGGCCGTGTTTGCATCTCCGCCTCCCGCCAGCATCTTGGCTGCCATTCTTTGCCTGCACAGCGCAGGTAAGATGACCTGTTGTCCCCACTCTGCTGTCCTCAACATGATCAGAAGCAGTGGCCTGGTTTTAAATGATGCCTGTGACGATTCAGGAGCCTCTGGGGTTCTTCTCATCGTAAAGAACTACACGGGAGACCGCCTCAACTTCGGGTTGGCTGCGGAGCAGGCACGCAACCACGGCGTGGATGTCGACATGGTGGTCGTCGCTGACGACTGCGCTTTCACCTGCCCCAGTAAGGCCGGGAAGAGGGGCTTGTGTGGCACTATTCTCATTCACAAGGTGAAAAAACAAACACGGGCATGTCGAAAAACACAATCGGAGGATATAACGACACTTTACCTTTAGCTGGCAGGTGCTTTAGCAGACGAAGGCTGCTCATTGGTCCATGTCGTTGCCAAGGTGACGGAGGTTTTGCAGGGCGTAGGTGAGGCTCGTGTGGCAGGTGGCGCCCATGTGTTGGCCAGCAGGAAACAGCGTTGCATTGTGTTGCAGGTACACTGGGAGTCAGCCTGTCTCCGTGCAGCGTTCCAGGCTGTCGCCCGTCTTTTGAGCTTCCTCCAGGAGACATGGAGCTCGGCCTGGGTGAGCATGAAGATTGATGTACCGTTATGCCGCGCCACTCACATGGGAGTGAGGATGGGAAAAACTTGAGAGTTGTTGACACCCTCTAAAAATTTATTTTGTAATTGCCCAACCATTGGTGCAATATATACCCACATAAAAATGTAAAACTCAAAAAGTCATTTTACATTACCTTCATAAATAAATGGCATGCATTTGATTTTATTTGGAAGAGATGTACCAGAAGTGCGCCATATATAACTTGCACAAACAACTCAGGCTAAACTTGGCTCCTCCCCCTGCCATTCGAAGCACTTCTGAGTTTAGATGTATCACGATAACAGTTGGGAATAGTTTCCGCAGGGAAAAAAAAAGAGGAGGTGAGATTGTGAGTAGTTAGAGATAACTGCGCCATTTTAATTTAAAAAAGAAGGTTCACTTCCTAGGATAAGTGCTGTTCATCTCATGCAGGAATCCACGGGGAGCCTGGGGTGAAAAGATCCAAGGTGAGTGGCAAGGTGCACAAATCTTTTGTAGATGTCATCTCTTGTTTTTTTTGTCCACCAGGTGGCGACAGCAGACGAGGTGGTGTCAGCCATGATTGATCACATGACCAACGCAAAGAGTCAGTCGTGCTTGCACCTGAGGAAGGGTAGGCCGGGCATCCCGCACAGTTGGCACCTCCCGTTTGTGATTTGTTTGACACGCTCTCGGACACAGGTGACACGCTCGTCGTCTGCGTGAACAATCTCGGAGCGCTGTCACGACTGGAAATGGCCGTGGTGACTCGGGCTGCCATCATGTGCCTCGGTAATGGTTGCACTTGATAGCGTGCTGAAGAGCAAAAAAACCCAAAACAAATCCTGTAGCACTTCTGGTCTCCATATGCTGACAGAAAATCGTGGGATGAAGGTTGCCAGGGTGATGTCCGGATCCTTCATGACGTCACTGGAGATGGCTGGAATGTCACTGACTTTTCTGAGGGCCTGTCCGGAAATACTGAGACTCTTTGGTTAGGAAAGACACACAAGACACACACAAAACAAAGATATATTAAAAAAAAAAAAAAAAACTTTGTTGATGTTTCAAATTCAGCGTCATATATTCTATGTTATACTGGGCGCCCGCCAGATTTTGTTTTACTGTTGAATGTGCCTACGTGTCCAGTGCAGAAATCCCAACACAATGAGCGTATTCAAGAGGAGCAGCTACATTTGAAGCTGACCATGTTTTCCTCCCCTTCTTATCGAGATGCCAAGACCAGCGCCCCCGCCTGGCCCAACCTCAGTAGCGGGTGTACGAGCGGCCGCAGCTACCTCACAGACCCGACCACGGTGCCTGCAGGGGCGCATGACGACGTGTTGACTGAAGGTTCATTTCCTGCATGACGTTCATGGAATAATTTGTGTGTGACAGAAGCTGAGCTGCACTGTGTTTGTTTACACCTCGCCTGGTGTACCCATAGGGTCCACCACCTTTACTTCCCGCTGAATTTCTCTCTCCTGCTAGGACCCCAAAGTCCTGCGATGCGCAAGGTTTTGGAGAAGGTGTGTTCTACACTGTTGGAATACCAGGAAGAGCTCAACGCGTTGGACCGTGCTTCTGGGGACGGCGACTGCGGGAATACTCACGCGCAGGCTGCCAAAGGTGACCACAATGCAAAAAAAAAAAAAGCACACAGCGCTTGCATGCGAAGCAGAGGTTCTCAAACTTTTTGGGTCTTAACACTTTGACAGGAGCGACATTTTTCCAAGGATGCCCTCATAATCCTATTGACAATTAAATTTGTTCTCAAATTAAGTTATGCATTTGTTTTCAATGACACAGCATCATTTATTCCATATTATTTTTTTGAACCCCAAGTTAAGGCACCCTTGGGGTCCCCGCGCCCCAATTTGAGAACCACAGCTGCAGCACATTGACAAAAATGCTCCCTCAGCCATTCAGGTGTGGCTCCAGAGTCATGTGGTCCCCGGTTGCCCAGGGCAACTGCTGTCTGCCCTAGCTACAGTGGTTCAGGAGAAAATGGGCGGGTCTTCAGGGGCTGTAAGTGTTCCAGTTTGCTCAATACAAATTTATTTTTGGGTGGTTCATTTTGGGGATTTTGCACACATTGACACACTGTGTTTTGACAGCTGTACAGTTTGTTCCTCACGGCAGCGAGCGGACACATGACCGGGGGGCGGAGCCACGCCGCAGCTTGGGCCAATGCCGTGCATGCTGGGATGCAGGCCATGAGAAGGTGGGTGTTGTAAAACACACCAATGCGGCCAATGTGCCGATCATCAGGTAACTAAATTTACCAGTGTATCTCCTTTCATTCAACAGAAACAGAATATCATCTTAGTATTTAACGAAACAGACCCTGACAGAATCCGATCACTATTAACTCTAAACTGGATCCATTTTGATTTCAACAGATACGGCGGTGCTGATTTAGGAGACAGAACCATGGTGAGTCACTTGGAAGTGGCACTTTTTGGGTGGTTTGTGCCAACTGTTTTTCTCTCCTCTCCCACCACAGTTAGACGCCCTCTACCCTGCCGTAGACGAGCTAATGAAACTCAACAGCACGCCCCCTGGCGGAGAGATGGCCGTGCTGCAATCTGCTGTTCAGGTGAGGCAAAACAAACGTCCCCAAGCTCGCGGTTGTGCAAGCACGCAAGAAACCTAACAGATTGTGCCGGTATCCAGAGAGCAGCCGTGGGGGCCGAATCGACTCGCAGCCTCGCAGCCAAGGCGGGCCGCGACAGCT